ATAGCACGAGTGGACTACAACAAACACATCTTAAAATAATCAGCCATATTTTTTTTAGAGCGGCGGCATACGCCCCCCCCCCCCCCCCCCCCGCAATCCTCTCCTCTGTGGGCATGCGCGTCAGACGAGGGAGCATATCCAACTGTTAATCGCCTATTGAAGTAATATCTTGTTCATAAGTAGGGTTCAGCCAGACTAGTAAAAGCCTAAAAGGATTTGTTCCCATACAACTTCTTTACGAAGTTATGATCGATTTATCGAATTTTCGACTTACGGTGAAGCATTCATAGATAAATTAAAGAGGAGTTTTCACCTGAGCTTTAGAAGATCCTAAAAGTTTCACTCAGCATGAATGATTCCTTCCCGGCTTATTAAATACTCTCAAATAAAAAACAATCATGTGTCATGAAGCCAACTTTTCTTCAATACTGAATATGTCGAGAAGTAAACATCCGTTTTCACTGAAATTTTCCGAGTATTCTAAGGACCAAGACCTATTAATGGATCAGAAATTCAAATGAAAATTCCTTGTTTTTGATTTTTCTATCAATACATTGCCATAAATCGAAAATCTGATAAAACGATTATAACTCCAAAAGAAGGTTTATGGAGAGAAATTCTTACAAACGTTCTCTAGTAGGAGTGAATGCTACTTATCAGCAAAATATTCGTTCGATCGGTCATTAATATTCAAATGTTTCTCCGTGAGTTGAATCAGCTATTCTTTTTTATGAAAAATTACAGTGAAAAATAAGATCATAGTTTTTTTCCTGTAAAAACTCTTGAATATTAGCAATAAGATAGAGGTTTTGAGACTCTACAAAATCTGCAGTTTAATTTATTGAAATTCGTCTTTATCGTTCATTATAATAACTCATAAATACAAGCAAATGGTCTTTTTTTTTCTTGAAGATTGTTGATATTATATGTTTGCAATATTATTACATCTAAATAAATTGTTTATTTTAACCTATGTGTGAATTTTGAAGTAGTGACACCGATCGTATCTGATGCTTTAGACAAAATATCGATGACAAATTACTATGTAACCTTCATAGGCGCAGTCTTTTACCAACCGTCTATGATCAGTTGAAGCACCAATTAACTAATTGGAAGTTTTATTAAGATAACAATTCCAATAACACATCAAAATTTGAAAATGAATGGAGATCGATATATGAAGTCTCAAGATTCAACTAGCCATCAATGTCGTCCGACCTTAGACCTCTTGAAAACTTGTGGAAACTTCTAAAGATGAACTTATCAAAGAAAAAAATTCTCTATAGTTGTCGCCATCAGGAAAGAATGGATAGCCTTCCAAATGAAACTGACATCGGCTCTTATACGAAATATGAGAAATCACATTTATAATGTGATAGAATAGGATGGTGACTCCATATTATATTTATGATCCAAACGTTAACCGCACATTGGTAATAAATGAATATACTCGATTGATTTGATTACTTCATAGAATTATAGAGAGTCAAGAACTTTACTGGAGTACTGTATCAAGAAAATTCAAACGATTTATCAACACTTTGAATCTTTGTTTGAATTTTCAATAACAATTTTGATCTTCTACCATTCATGTATGTCTTCATAACTTTTTTGCAATCTTAATTTCTATATTTTGGATAAAAAAAAAACCAACAGTTCGCAATCATTTTGTCGTTGATAATATGCTCTATACAAGATTAAATCCAGACTCTGTTAATAAAAAAAGTCAAAACTATATAATTTACTGTTTTGTTTTACTACATCAGGCAATAGGTAAATGGTAAATTTGATATATGAAATGATTTAAACAAGTGCGTTCAGTTGATTATCATCGACAAAACAAAACAAGACAAAATAAGATTAATCAATTACCATTTGTCTTTTTCAAAATGAACTAATAAAAAATTTGATAATATTTGTCATCGATCAACAGAAATATCTTTATCATTTAAACACTTCCTTGTGAAAATTTACTTTGATTCCTTTTTTATTCATTTTCTTGACGTATCAGATAGAATTCTGTTTCATCTTGACGTCTACTTACAGATTCTTCTTATCTATAATAAAGTGATAAAAAGACTCTTACCAAAGCTGAAAGATAGATAGTCACTCCTTATTTATTTTTCATATATCTATAGAAATTATTTTCATATGCTTCTTCGTCCATTTATGGAATCTAGTAGGTTGGAAATAATATTTTTCCAGGGAGTGACATTTTACTTTCAAATAGCATCAACAACAAATTTTATATCAGATTAAAGTGCGTCAAACATGGGATTTATCAGTACTAACTAATAAGAGTTATTTCAATTTCTTAGTGGTAAATTGAGGAAATTTCTGAATTTCACGCCATGTCAACATAGAAAAATACCTCTCATGAAGCACTTCAAATTAGATCTCGTGTTAAATGATGATTATCACAAAGTAATCGATATCTAACCTGGAAATATAGGAATAAAGAATAATAAATGGAGTTAAAAAAATGTTGTCAAAGACGAAACATAATCGTTATTCCGAAGAAAGTGAAAAATTGCATTACATATCCTTTGAGAAAAATGAAAACAAACATTGATTTATAAGAAACTTTTTTTTGTTTGTATGCGTCTCGTCTCAGCACTGTAAAGAATGCCAATGGTCACCATGCTGATTACTGATTATATTCACCAAACTTTAAAAAAAAAAAAAGTTTTATTTTATAATATTCATGATTTTGAATGAGGTCTAGTTTGAACTACCTCATGAGAAGAATTTTTCTATGTCAACATGATGCAAAATATAGAAATTTTCTCAATTCAACACTAAAAAGTTGCCATAATCCTTATTATCTAGTACTGATAAGTTCCATTTTTGACACGCTTTTATTTGGTATAAAACTTGTTGTTGATGCTATTCGAAAGTATAGTGTTACTCCCTCCTCTCTGAAAAATATTATTTCCAACCTAGTATATTGTACGGTTAACATACCAGATGAACAATTTTAACATTTAAATAAAACATTTTATTATTTATACAAACAAAATTTTATTGAAATGCCTATGAAACTTCTGTTTCATTTTTTTCTTATTACTTTTATTGGCATTTAAATTTTTTTTTGTGTATTTCATTTCGATCATTGGCTTTTCAATGCTTGAGATTGCTATACAAATTTTAATAATAATATTAAGTAATATTGAAAACGAAATTATCACAGACCTATACTACAGTCATGAGAATAAAGTGCGAAAGTCTTACTAGATGGAGATTTATTGATTCATCAATCAAGAATATCACATTCAACATACGACAGATGTGATATTATCGGACTAGATGAATTACAATGGTATGGTTTTCATCAGATTATAGCGCGTAGTTTTTAATATACCAATAAAAAAATCCGTCTATGTAGTTAAATTTGCGCGCCTGTTCTAACTTGAAATTTTCTTTATGATAGATTATTCCATAGGACAAGTTGTGATCTACGTAAAAAGTACTTTTTTCTCATAAGTTGTCTTTAAATATAGGTTTACAAGAGCAATGTTCGTTTGACTTTTGCCGGAAACTTTCAACAACAAAGCAGTAAAAGACTTTTTCTGTTCACGCAATCTTTAACTAATTTATTATTTAATAAAACATTAACAAAAGTGCTATAAATTGCTTGAGATATTCTATTTGTATAGATATTTCATATTAAAAAATGACGTCGATCGTCTCCTATGTCTATATTAATCATAGATAGATTTCCTTGTACGATCTCATTCATACATTGCAGTAGATATTAAAAAAGGTTGTTTTCGTAGTATAATTCTCATCAAACATATATATATACTAAATAAAACTTAACATATTGCGTTGTTCTAAATTTCGTCTGCTGTTTACATAGAGATGAAGCTCAAAAATTAACTATGTATTCAATGAGATCTGCACTTAGGCTATTGCAGATACTACGGTAAACTTTTTATTCGCGCTATTGATAGCATCATAAAGTAACTTGAGTGATATAATTGGTTTTGTACAAAAAAGAATTCTTCACAAATCCACACTATGAAAACAATACTTTTATATCTCTTTCAATGTGTGAATGAGACTATGCAAGAAAATCTGTTTGTGATTAATGTAAACATATGAAATAATCGACGAAATTTTCTAACATGCAATATCTATACAAATAGAATATCGCATGCAATTTATAATAATTTTGTTAATGTTATATGGAACAATAAATTAGTTATACCTTGCACGAAAAGAAAAAATCTTTTACCGCTTTGCTGTTAAAAACTTCCGGCAAAGATCAGACAAACATTACTCTTAAATCTGTACTCAAAGGCAGCTCACGATAAAAAGTGTATTTGCTACGTAAAGCACAACTTGCTCTTTTGAATAATATATCATAAAGAAAATTTCAGCTTAGAGAAAGCGCGCAATAGTGTGTAAAAACAGCATGGTTGTATAATTTTAGAAGGGTAAAGAACGATATGTTATGATTCTATTAGTAATAAAGATTAAATAAATCAATGAATTTTTTTACTAAAATAAAATCAAATAATTTACTGATTGAATAATTTTGACAGCTACTGTATATAAAAAGAATAATTGACGTGTGTCGAGATATGCGGGCAAATATTTCAGATTTATTATTATCACTCTAAGCAAGAGATCGCATTAAAAAGATAAACCATTTGCATGATTATTTCCGCTAAGCCTTAAGACAAACCTTCAAGTCTATATTAAAATTATAAGCAACTAAAATCTAGATAAAAACTATTCATTCTTTTATCTACCACGTAAAGATTTAGATATGTCGCAATTTCTTTTTTTTTATTAATAGTCGAAAAAAAGATTTCAACGCAATTTCAAAAAGACAAAAAGAATTAGAGAACAAATATTGTCAGAAAATACAAAACATAAACGCACATGATGTTGACTAGATAAACATGCAATAGACTATTAATTATTCCATAGAAAGAAAAGAGAAAAAAAAAAAAACGTGAGATTGAAAAGTTTATGACCATATAAATTTGATGACATGAGCAATATTTTGACATTCTCTTGGTGCTAAAATTCCACCAGCAGTATATAAGCCGCTAAGAGTACAACTTTGACATCGAACACTAAAACGACATGTAACACGTTCAACAGAAGCTTTAAAACCATCATGAACAAGTTCATCAACAACAAATCTAATTAATTAAATAAAAAAGTCAATTCATAGAAAAAACAAATCAAATTTTTCATACGCGACAAGTTTATCCATATCAATATGTATATCCGATTGTATGGGTTTGAGTTGTTGTTGAATTTGTAAATCAGTTGTAAGACCATCAAAAGCACAAGCTAGTTACAAAAAAAAACAGAAGAAAAGTTTTTGATACATGAAAGTTTACAGTCTAATTTTAACGTACCATGATTAACTGTAACAAATTCACGACTACAATTATAACATGGTATAGTTCCTTTTAATTTTGAATGATCAAGTTGTGTTATAACAACACGTGATTCATGAAATGATGAACGTTTTTCAGCTGATCGATTAATAATTTCCATTTTCATATTCTCATAATCGGGTATGAGACGACGGAATGATTCACGTCGACGTAATGATATAACACATGGACTAGAACTTTCTAGTTTAGCTATCAATGAACTAATACAAAAAAATTCTGCTTCACGTAATACATCTAATGCAACTGATTCCGGTGGCATTTGATCACAACGAATATAATTTAAAATATGACTAGATAAAAAGCAAACAAACGTGTTAATCTTGCTGAATACAACATGATCCAAAAATTAGTTAATCGAACATAATCATTGAATATATCGGCTATAATTTCACTCAATAGGGTGATTTTGTTTACTGGTTACAAAGAAATGTTCATGACTGATATCCTTAAAGAAGATATCCCATATAAAAAAAAAACGACTCAAAATTAGATTAAAATGGATTATTTTCGGATTGATAATCTGTTATAATGGCACTGTTTTAATCTGATTTTAGGCGTCTTGCTTTTTTTGCATGGGATTGAAAAGAATCGTATGGATGTATCACTATTGACTTTGATATAGAAAGAGCCCATATTTCGTCAAATAGTAACAGACTATCTCTGTATAATAACCTTCAAAGGATTTGTTCTTTTTTGGAGTTTTATCGGAAGGGTTGAATTTTTAAGGAACTTTGCCCTTCTAGAAATAAAATCTTAAGTTCAAATTTTTAGCCCAAAAACTTTACCACAATCAAGATCTCAACGAAGTTGACTTTTGCACAGAGTGTTAAAATATTGGCATGCAGCATGTTCAAGAAATCAATACTTCAAAATTTGTTATATTTTACATAACATCAGTAAAAAGCGTCTAGATTTTTCAAAATCTCTATGTCGAAGTTACTAACATAGAAAACTTCTAAAACTTTATGTACGCATTAGTGTTGTTGAGATATTGACTGCAGTAAAACTTTAGACTGAAAATTTTAAATTAAAAATTTAGTCCTAGAAGAAAAAAATTCACTATAGATGCAATACATCGATTAAAACTTCACAAATGTACGAATCCTATGGAAGTTATAATGAATAATTGGTCATAGATATAAGCAAGATGATTCCAGGACCAAAAACGATTGGTTCCACTCATCACTAGTTGGTCCAATACTATTTGGTGAAATATGTTGTCAAAAGTTTTGAATCAATCAGAGATATCTTCTGTCGAAAGTAATTGGGAAAGACTGTATATCTATGTCAAAGTCCATTGTAATTCATCAAAACAATTCTTTTTTATATTCTTCTTAAGGATATCCACCATGAACATCTCCTGTATCATTAGTTAATAACATCAGCCTCTTTGATCAAACGATGACAGAGGTATTCAATTTCGATCTTCGTGCAACTGACTTCTACCTTCTTCTCTCATACTTGAATAGTAAAACTAATTAAAAATACTCTTTTACTATTCATTTAAGACAATAGAATAGTTTATAAACAAATTGTGATAAGAACAAGATCTATTGATTAATAACAAAATATTGTATTATATTTCATAATTGTTTTTGAAACTATTCTATTAAACTTCTTAAACAAACAAGAATATTTTATAGGATTAAATAGATTCATTTTTTTTATTTTTCAAAAATAAAGAAAACAGCAATATCATACCCAAAATTACTTCCATCACGGTCAATAAAAATATGCCCATCTTCATCTCTTACGAGGTCATATCTTCCACTAAACATAACTGCTAACATTGAATCCTCATATTTCCGTAATGTTGATAAACTCGTTGTATAATGACAACCACCTACGTTAAGATCGATAACATTTGGAAACTAAAAAAAAAACCATTGCATAAAATTAATTTATTTGAAATGAAGTAAAACTTACCATAATATCATCCTGAGTTTTTGGTAAAATAACAAGTTCCATTGGTGGTGTTTGATGTCGTTGTGTTTGAACAGTATGTTGACTTTGTTCATCAGTTGATTTTGTTTTTAATTGAACTTGTGTTAAATTTTTTTGAACTTTATCCATTGATAATTCATGATCTTCAGTTGGCATTTCAGGTGTTGACGTTCGAATCATAAATGTTTCGTTCATATCAGCAGCCATTGCATATCTATAAGAAAAAATACATCCTTTATCAAATCGTATTCAATTCGTAAGTCTATGTTTGTGTTGTTTTTTTTTTTTTTTTAAAGAAGAAAAGAGACGGATGAGAAGAACAAAAAAAAAACCATAAAGGATAATCACTGAACTATGAAAAGAAAAAGAAATACGGATCACATGAAGTATTTATATGGAGCTGGGATGCCTTCGCTACGTCCAGGTCGATAACCAATGATGCTACCACGACCAATACATTCACCAATATAAAACCAAAATAATACTTCAAGACCGACGAGTGTATTTAATGAAAATTGCTATATTTTTTTTAAAGATAAAAATATAAATTGATTAAATAAATAATAAACAATATTTTACTTTAACTGTCAATTTACGCCAACCACCAGTTGAAGCTGATTTAACAATTTGTTGTATTCCTTGTTGAATTTGACCGAATTCGTTAGGCATTGGTGGTCGTAATTCAACACGAGCAAAATACCAAAAACGAGACAATTTTGATTGTCCATAACGTGCCACAGCTATAAAGCAATTCAATGGTTTTAATGAAGAAAATTAAAGGTAAAACTTACGAAGAGCAAGTTTTGGCACAAGAGCTGTAACACGATTAACGATAGCAGCCATTCGACAAGATCTTTCGAGATCAAGGAAAAACAACGAGCAATAACACGTTGTTGAGAAAAAAAAACTAATGTAATAGTTTTTCCATTGATTCTGTATATTTGCCTTTTCTGTTAATAAGAGTAGATAAGATGTCGCTAATGTATAAAAGATTGTGACGGATTATATGTTAGGGTTTTTTATATTTATTTTTGCTTTGAAACATATGACAAATGTTAAGAAAAAATAAATTGTTTAATAATTAAAAATGAATGAAATGATCATATTTCTTTCGAACTATTACTTTCTTGTAATATGCATTATCATGATAATATCATTGCTTGGTATTTCATCATGTTCTTATCTATTGCAAAATTATAATTGTCAGCAACAACGTAGTGACTAATGAGAGTTATATATACACCATATTGTTTCGTTAATATGATAGTAACAAATGGAAAAATCAATGGCGACGAACAAGTCAAACATAGATGTGGATTATCAAGTAATTTCTTCTCGATTTTCTGTTGAAAATATCGAAGAACTTCAACAAGGTGTTGAACATTTAAATGAACATGGCTATGCTATATTTAGTAATATTCTTACGAATGATGAAATAAATAATAGCATCGATTTATTATGGAAACATTTAGAAAATTTAAAAAGTCCTTATAATATTCGACGTAATGATCCTGAAACATGGAATAAACATTGGTAAGGTAATTTTTAAATAAAACAAATATCTTAAAAAAGAAAAATATGGATATCGATAGGCCTGGAATATCCAATATTGGTCTATTAAATGATCACGGTATAGGTCAATCAGAATTTATGTGGTATATTCGTGGTAAACCAAATGTAAAGAAAGTTTTTTCACATATATGGAATTCTAATGAATTGTTTACATCTTTCGATGGAGCTGGTTGTTTTCGTGATTGGCATTTAAATAAAACATGGAAAACACAGAGCGGTTGGTATCATTGTGATCAAGTAAATATTTTGGTTTTTTTGTTTTGAGCAATTTTTCTGTTTTGTGTTTTTGCATATAGAATCCATTTCGCAAGCCTGATCGATGTTCAATACAAGGTTTTGTTTCTTTAACTGATAATGATGAATCAACAGGTGGTCTTGTTATTGTACGTGATTCTCATAAAAATTTTATTGATTTACAATTTATTGTTGATGAAAATCGTTTATGGGGTGATTTTGTATCAATTCCTGATGAAATAATCGAAAGAATACATCCACGTTTAGTTAAATGTAAAGCAGGAGATCTTATTGTTTGGGATTCTCGATCTATTCATTGTAATACACCAGCTCCTATTGATAAACAAAAAGATAATTCATTATCGGAATTCCAACTTTTACGTATTGTTGCTTATATATGTATGAGTCCATTATCAATGTTTGAACCTGATGGAGTTCGATATGAAAATTTAGAAGAATTTCGAGAATTAAGAGAAGATTTCGTTCGAGATAGAACTACATGTACACATTGGCCATTGGAATTAATTACAGCTAGTATGTATTTTTATTAAAATACTATTCATTTCAACATATAAGTCATTTCACTCTTTTTTTGAATAATTTTTTATAAGGATATCATAGAAATCTACGACTATCGGAATTCAAGAGATAAAATTCGAGGCCATCGAATTTTGATTGATTGATCTGACTCTGTTATCTCAATATTTCCGAAATGTTAGCTTCTTCGTTACATGAAGATTGTTTGTAGAATTTCAGAGATACTGTGATAATAGTGTCTGATTAGTTGAAACCTAAAAATAAATATTCCCATTCGACTCAGCATGGTGAATTCTCTCTACTCAGCTGCTTTTCCAGATGGTTACAGATCCATTGTCTGAAGAAAGGTCTTATAACTCTCGAATAGAACAATCTACGAATGTCAACCTTACGTAGATCGAAAGACATGAATTTTTTCTATCGATTAGTTCTCTCAAAAGTCGAAAACAAAAGGATAATAGATTCAGAATCTCTTCTATTTGAAACTCTTCACGAAAAAAACTGATCTAATTGGTCAATTGCTGACCGATCAAAGTTCGATTATCTCGGGTTTTCTCTCTTGAATGGTCAAAAACTGCAGGTTTCCATGATGTTTCTATCAAAAGTTATTCTAAAAACAGTATAGCACATCACTTTTTGAAATGAATAGTAGATAAATAAACTTTTTTTTTGTCATTGTAGGTCGATTATCATATAATGATAAAGTTCCACTCAAGCTCAATGCATATCAACATTCACTTATTGTTGGTACGCATGTTGAATCTGAGAATGGAACAACAGAAATCATTTTTTAATTTTTATGTTCATTCGATCAACAAATTAACTGTTTCATAAGAAGAAAGAAATATATGGTCATGACTAAATAAAGTGTCTCACTGATATGATTCGCACTTGATGATATCCGAAAATCTTCTGTTGGGCGGGTCCAAGACTGTGCCGAAAAGAACTACTCTAAAAGTAAACAACAAATTATAATTCAATTAATGTGATATCATTGTCAAGATTGTCTGAGAAATGTGTAGAGTGTGTTACCTACTGAATACACATAATCATAAAAAGTATTTCATTCAATTGGAGCGACTATTCAAGTGCGAATTAAAAAATTTCATTTAGAATATCTAGCATGATTTTATTAATTTTTAAGGAATTCAAATTGATACAATTCGATACAAATATATAGTAAAACTAATTTTAAATCCTACAACACTGAGATAAACATATTCTATAAACGAAAAAATTCTTTCGTTACAAGAATATTTTCTCTTTCTGCATATATTAATGAATGAATTTAGTTGGTAACAAAATGCATAGAAGTCATTTGAAATATAATAATAAAAACAACTAAAGAATTAAGAAATTTTATTTTTCAACATGAGCAAAAATCTAAACAAAGGATTTGTGTAATTTTGGGTGCTTTTGAACTTCTTTAACATTGGTCACGTATTTACAGAATATGATTCTCAATCATCTCATAACTGTATTATAGACGTCGCATGATTCTCTTTTGGACTATTGAAGAACACTGGTCACGATTCAACATCATTTCTCCTCTTCTTTCAATTTTTTGTTTCCTGGGAAAACGTGATAAATCAAGAAAAAACAAGAACAGATGAACTCTATAAAAATAACAGATATATATATATATAATTTGCATCTGAAATAATTGCTCGTTTCCAATGACTCGCTATTGCAGATAAGTCTATTAGACTTATTAGTCACCACTCTTTATTGGTGATATTTTCAATATTAATAAAAACAAATTCCTGGAAGATATAGTGTACTTTGTACGAATACAACAGTTAGGTTTAGAAAATAAGATTGATTTGAGATTTGAATGTCATATCGAAATTTACAATGCTGATTGTTTAAGGAATATCTTATTCTGTAATATGACTAGACTTTTCTTATCAACACTGATGTTAATGAAATACTAACGAGGGAACCACCCGAGGTGTCAAAAAGCTTTTGAGCTGAAATTTTGCCCAGAAGTAGGGGATGCATAGACTAGGAAAAGCCTAAAAGGATATGAGCCCAAGTTGGGATTTGAATGAGATATCAACTATTTACCATAATTTTCCCATAGGATCCTACTGGTCCGATAAAATCAAAGTTTTGAATTTAGGCCTGAAACTTTGTCCACACCAAGGCCTCAATCAGACAAGCTTGAGTACAAAGTTTCAGAACTCTTGGATAGACTATCTTCGAGATATGAATCTGCCAAAATATCTATTGAAACATTATATCCATAAAAAAGCGTCTTTATGCTAACATACTAGTATCTTGGAGATAGTCTATCCCAGAGNTGTATAAATAACTTATTGAAAAGAAGTACAATATCATTCTGTGCTCTCGAAAAGCATTTTCAAGTGAATATTCAGACTGTTTATGAGAGAATCTGCAAATCTCCGAATAATGAGCACCGCCTTAAACTGAGCACTTTTTGCCGGTCCCGATGGCGCTCAGATTAAAGAGGTTTTACTGTAGTTCTAAGTAACGGTACTATTCCAAGCGATGGTATACGAGACGTTGCAATTCCTACAACAACTTTTCCTTTTCTTTTGAAAAGCTTGTGAATATATTATTGCTATGATAGAGAATAATTTTGATCGATAGGTATCAGCATTTGGGAAGAGAAGAAACACACCCATATCTATCGAGAAACTATCTGAACTAAAGTAAATTCAATTAGGAAGCCAAAATAATATTTAAATTTCTACAATTTCATGCTATACAACATCTTTATTTAGGCTTAGAACATCTCAGAAAACTTTATTAGTACAGCTCTACGAAGCTATACGATATGAAACTCATACAACTGTAGGAACTTCTAGTAGTAACATTTTCTATGTTAGTGCATTTCGTTCCATATATACTAATACTACGAACGAAGGTAGAACTCTTTCAAAACTTTTCATCTACTAACCTACAGCAACTGACATTTAAGTACATCTACGCTTTTTTTTGCCTGGTTTTCTTCAATAAAGATAGTTTCTTTATAAAAATTGATAAGTTTGATGCTTTCTTATTTGAAGTCACTTATTAACACAACTGGAAGGATTCTCAATTCGTATAAGCCTACCACTGCCGATAGGAAGATAAAATGAGCTGCAAAGTTCAGTTTTTTCTATAACAGGCTTCATATTTTTAAGCTTCTTCATACCTAGATATTGTCACAGTTATATAAGCTAGCAGTTGGTAAAACGTCCACAACAAAGCAGATTTCTTTCTGATATTAATGTAACGAAAACATGAGCCGAAACTATTAGCCATTGAGAGTTTCTGACAATCAGTTCACAACATGTCAGAAAAGCGAGGTCAACATTTCGAGGTGAAACATCTTCAGTTTATACCAAATTTTACTTTTAATGACTGACTAGATTTTCATCGCCATAATCAAGATGTTTAACATGATCAGAGACCATTATTGTACTTTGAGAAAGTGTGAGTTCAAAACTTAGAGATGTGATTTTCATGATGTCTAGAAATCTTCTAGTTGGAAAATTGCATGGTTAAATTTCTGGATCGTTATAGCCATGAAAGTCCATAAAAATGAGCAAAAATAGAATGACTTCAGTGATCTAAAAATTAATTCAAAGAATCGGTGAAAATCGGTTGGTTAGATTCCAAGCCTTCCTCTAGTATATTTTTTAATATTACTTGCAGTGTCTTGTTTTCTGCTCTACGAGCAATACTATCCATTTTTTCAATATAATTCTTGGATTATAACCTAGCATAGCTTTCTGGAGGCTTCATCTAAACGATTTTAATTATCAATAAAATAAATTTTCACCAATTCATAAGCATTTCTACGTATTTCGTGTAGTGATTTACGTGTTTGATGATTTATAATAAATGCGAAATCAAAAAACGAAATAATTATTGTTAAAACTGATGACTAATTTTTTGTGATACTTTTAATCTGAAGGAAGGTTCACTTGGTGATAGTCATTGAAGAAACCTCTTCGGAGAAAACGATGAGTCACAATGTAAATTCTTTTGCTTCTTGGCTCACACTTTTTTCAACCAGGCACCTTTTTATCAACATATATAAAGTGCAACCAACAGTGTTATCTGTCAAGTCGAAATTCTTTGCTGACAGCAAGAATGATAATTTGGACTCTAAGCTTTCTTCTACTAGTGTGTTTATCGCAAGATATTTCAGCCAACCGATCGGTTATTGTCCAAACAAAATATGGTGATGTGCTAGGATACGAAACAGATTTGGGTCGTATATTCTATGGTATTCCATTTGCTCAGCCACCAATAGGTCGTTTGAGGTAACTACATAATTTTACATTCCTCATTATGAGTCTTGTGTAGATGGAATCGTCCAGTACCTATCAGTAAATGGGCTCCATCAACGATTAATGCAACAGAAATCCCACCTGCTTGTCCTCAACCTGCATGTGATGTTCACGATATTCTGTGCCCTAAAACTGTGAGTATCCTTTTATATTTATAGAAATGATTACAAGCCTAAAACATTAAGACATCTGAGGATTGCCTTTATCTGAATATCTTTACCCCAATACAAAACACTTCATCATTACTGCCCGTGATGATTTTCATTCCTGGTGGAAACTTTCAATTTCTTGATGCATCATTAGTGATCTACGAAGCAGATCGTTTTGTTAATACAACTAATGTTGTCTGTGTATTTATTCAATATCGATTAGGTGAGAATACTCGCTTCATCAATGAAGTGTAAATCTTCTTTTGATATATAAACAGGTGTACTTGGCTTTCTTGCAACCGGCACTGGCCCGAATGATCTCAAAGGCAACTATGGTATATTAGATCAACGATTGGCGATTGCTTGGATCAAATCAAACATTGATGCATTTGGAGGAGACCCAAACCAAGTGAAGTCGAACTGTTATTTCTATGACAAACATTGTTATTTTCATGGTTTAGATTACACTGTTTGGTCAAAGTGCAGGCGCTCAATCAACAGCATTGCACTTTCTCACAAGCGATATGCAATCATTTTTTCAGGCTGCTATAATTGAAAGTT